TTTACGGAAATAAGATAAGGACTATTTCCATTACTCGTTTCAACGATTCATCTGCTCCATTTCATAAGTAACTTTTGGTTTACGTAGTCTACCCCTGCTATCCCCACTTGAGTTTTATTTCCCCCTCTCATTTTGAAGTGTGATGCTCCACTTTATTTTAAAGAATATAATTTGTTCACCTTATTATTGGTATTATTTTCATTTGGAGGCTGGGTTTGTTTGTTTTAGGAAGCCATTAAATGGGCGTTTTTATTATTTAGCCAAGCTCACACAGCACAAACTCATTCACAGAATCATTTTTTTTTTCTTTTGGTTTTAGTTGGTCGTTGGATCGATCACGTCCCAAAAAACAATAAAAAGGAAATTCTCATAATTAACTATAATTTTGGGGTTCCACCAAAAAGCATTCAGATATAAAACAAACAAAAGTTGTAGGAGGTTGTTCGGCGTTGAAATTTGAAGTTTTCGAAGCCTCAAAATTTAAAGTTGTTCACTCCTCATAATTATGTTTGGGGTTTTTAATGTCTTTATTTAGTTAAATGATTTTCGATTGAAGTCAAAAAGGAATTATTGTGAGTTGTTGCAGGTGTTTCGAAATCAAACGTAGGATACTGAAGAAGAAACACTAATAGTTTTATTTGTCATGGACAATATTGGGAACATTGAATATATGTCAACATATTTGGTGCACAATAACCATTAAATCGAAAGAAAATATGCTGGAGGTTATATAATCTAATATGAAAGCTATAGCTATATCTGAAAAGATTGTCACCAAATTTGAAATACCTGTTTCTATTTCCAATTCGGTCAGATGTGTTGAAATGCATTTGGAAAAAATATTACACTGTGGCACTATAGATCGGACGAAGACATAAAAAACTCATAGATGACACATTTTGAGCCACCACACAATATAATCGTCCATTACTATTGGTTGGTACAAAAGAAATCTCTCCCCAATCCTATAGATAAGGAATGGATATTGTTAATCGACTATAGAAAAATAAGTAAGAATTTAGTGACCGAAAAATTCTCTTTACCAAGAATATATGAACATTTAAACCAACTTGGAAGACCTAATTATTTTTCCTTTTTATACCCTCCACCATACTATGGAGGTATATATATATATAACAAAGTATATATATTCTTGATCAGCGTAAAATTCTAAGACGATTTAACCATGTCCGTCTGTCTGTCTGTGTGTCTGTCTGTCTGTATTTCTGTCCGTCTGTATGTCTGTCTGTTGTAATCATGCTATCTTTCGAACAAATTGAGATAGAAGGCTAAAATTTTGCACACATGTATATTTTGCCAGTAGGCAGGTTAAGTTCGTAAATGGGCCATGTAGGTCCAAGTTATCATATAGCCCCCATATAACGGTACCTCCCGATATTCGGTATTTTGATGATTTTAGCGACATTATTCAACGGAATTGTTTCAAATTTGACATTTGAAGTTCGTAATACTACAGCGTAAGACAGGAAATTTTCTGTGCAGGTCCACGTCTTCGTGTAGCCCCCATATAACGGTACCCCCCGATATTCGGTATTTTGATGATTTTAGCGACACTATTTACCGGGATTGTTTAAAATTTCGCATGTGAAGTTCATAATGGATACTTCAGCCCATGCCAGAAAATTGTCTGTGCAGGTCCACGTCTACGTATAGCCCCCATATGATTTCATCTACATTATAAACAGATTTTTCTTTAAGTTTCGCATTTAAATATTGTAATAACTTATGACAAAAGTTGAACTTACAGCTTTTTTACTTGTTAGAGCTAATTCCTGGATTTCACCAAATATCTTTGGAAGACACATTTATGGAAATGTCTCCTTTTTCAACGTGGCGGTTCTTACCAATTCCCTAATTTACGATAGGAGTATGGACCGAAAATAGCACCAAATTCTTTTCAAAGAATGATGACCTTTACGTTTAGGGTTCAACATCTAAATTTGGACCGGTTCTCACCAATTTCAATAGGCTTCTTCCTTGAGCCAAACAAATTATTAACGGAAAAGTTTATGTCAATCAGACAATATGTTCGAACTGTCTTTTGTTTACAAAAATACATGGACAGACGGTGACATATTTTACGACTTTTGTTTTAATAAATTAGCAGGATCTGTGGTACAATGGAGTTTATCTAAGAAGGAACAAGGACGGCTGAAAGAGATTCGTATGGGATTATAAGATCGGTTAGAAGTTTGAGACAGTGTATGCCATTTCTGAGATGGGAAGTTTATGTGTATTGATGGCATAATTTAGTACATTTTGTTCGAATAGTTCTTTTTTTTGGTGCAAGGCCCTTGTTTTTGTAGACTAGTCTCCTACGTACAATAATTGAGAGTTCCAGCTCTTCTCGGTCGTTCAATGACGTTCGAAAAATATTTAGTAACTTTCAATATTTTTGGTCCCTTTTAGTACAAATCGGCCTAATTGTGTAATTCTTACTTTATGAAACTCGGTGGAACACTGTGGACCTACATGGCCCATTTCCGAACTTAACCTGCCTACTGGAAAAATAAACATGTGTGCAAAATTTTAGCCATATATCTCAATTCATTCGAAAGATAGCGTGATTACAACAGACAGACAGACAGACAGACGGACAGACAGACGGACAGACAGACAGACAGACAGAGGGACATCGCTAAATCGACTTAGAATTTTACGCTGATCAAGAATATATGTACTTTGTTGGGTCTGACATGAGTATTTCGAGGAGTTACAAACGGAATGACAAAGTTAATATACCCTCCATAGTATGGTGGAGGGTATAAAAACACGCGTAATATAGGTGTTCGATTTTCTTGAAATACAAGTTATTGACCAATTGTGTCCAATACTATTGTGAAAATGGGATATATATACAGGGTGAGATGAAAAAAACTGCAACAAAGTCAAACGCCATAATTTTTACAATTTTTAAAATTCTATTGAATGAAAGCAAAAAATGTCGAAAATAGCATCAAATTTTAGAATAAGTTTTGATTTGCTCGAATTGGTCACCTTTGGCACGAAGCGTTTGCTTGAGGAGGTCGACACTTTGGTATTTTTTAGTGCCAACCTTGCTTTCCAAAATACTCCAGACACAATAGTCCAACGGATTAGTATCCGGAGATTTTGGTGGCCATTTTGCGCTGGAAATGAAACGAGGAACCTCATTTTGTAAACGTTTTTGGGTGGCGCGTGCTGAGTGCGATGGTGTTGAGACCTGTTGGAATGTCCAAGGTCTGTGGCCAAAATGTTTGCGTGCCCAAGGCTTTCATACACTCTTCAGAATATTTTCGCGATAATATTCAGCATTTATTTTAATGCGACCATCGGCTGTTACGGCGCCACACACCTGGTGGTCAACCGAAGGTGCACATTTTCAGCTGACCTCTTTGGCAAGTAAACACGATCATTTTCATTTTATTTTGTTTACAAACAGCATGACAACGAATGTTTTCTTATCGGAGAAAACCAAATTCTTTTGAGTCTATTTTCTTTCTGTTGCGGTGTAAGTTCTTGCACTTTTTGCAATTTCAATGGCTTTACCCCGAGCTCATTTTTGAATATTTGCCGAATGGAATATTGCAATATGTTCAGCTCACGAGTCACTGCGACGCGGGTTTCGATCAAGTCGCTTCTTTACTTTTCGAACCATTTCTACTGATGTTGATGTTTTCTTCCGTTCACTTTCTTGACGTCGGGCTACGCTACCAGTATCACGGCAACGAGCGATGGTACGAAACACGGAAGATTTATTCACATTTAAATGCTGGAGTGCTTTAACGATATTATAATCGCTGTCGGATGATATTTTAACCGCTGGCGGATGAGTGGCTTAAAAATTACAACACTTTGAAGTTGGTTGAAGTTTTGTCATGTCACCCTCCTTACATCAGCCCTACTTTCTCAACTTAATTCTTATGCCAAACTTCAAGGCTATAGCTCTATCCATTCATATAATACCAAAAGGTACGGTATTTAGTGCTTTTTACTTCTTCTAGTACACTTATAATTCAAATTTCAAAAAACCCAGTCTCATTATCAAGTTTATGATTATATAGGTTCAGTGGTTTCGCCAGAAAACCTTTTCATTCCAATATCCCGATATGCGAGTTAATCTCAACCCCAAATATAAAAGGTTACCACTTTTTCAATTTTAGAACTCGTATTGAGCCGAGCTACCCGTAACAAATATTCTGAGAATTTATGTGAAGTAAATATTGAAGTTTGAATTCAGATGGAACTATATCGTAATATGAGTCGATTTCCTTTAAATTTGATGGAGGCATTATTTCTGCTGTACGTGTCCTGTCACAACATACATTGTTGCAGGGTTATTTCTAGGATCTATCTGATATGAATTGCATATTGCGACAAAGTCAAGCTCTGGTATTTTGGGCAAAAAAAGTTGGGTATCATCCCGCGGTAGCGCTCAACATTCGCAGGTTTGTTACGATAGCAGTATCTTTGGAGAAGTACGGTCCAATGATGCCTCCAGCCCATAAACCGCACAAAACCGTTAGTTTTTCTTGATGTATTGTTAGTTTTTGCAATTCTTCTGTCTGACCTTTACTTCAAAATTCAAGCTTTGTCGCTGAACACAATGCGCGCCCACTGTACCCCCTCATTTCGAACATTTTAGGTTTCAGGCGTATTTCTATACCAAATTAGTTGTAATTGAGTATTTCAAGATCTCACAGGATACAAACCGTCCAAATGTTCAATATGGTCTCAGACAAACTTACGGTCTTCTGTAGATGAGAGACCTTTGTAGCACTTGTAAAGATTGGAAATCCTCTATGGATAGATGTATTTTTATCTTCTACAAATTAAGCAATTTCAATTTTTTTTTAATTTTACTGAATTTAAATGCCTTTTTCCCCAAATCCCCAGTTCAAAAACAATTTTTTTTAATATTTTAAATTTTTATAAAAATATATATTTTGGCTAATTAATTATAATAATTTGTTTATATAAAAAAACTTAAAGAAAAACTTAACTAATAATGTCTTCCGGTTTTCTGCTTATAAATAATAATTACAAATTTCAAAAAATACTAAATTCAACTATACATCATACACAGCAACAACTATTTACAACAAAATTCTGAGGCAGGTTAGGCAGGCAGGCAGGCAGGAGGCTTGATTACTTCAAGGTACAAACTTTGGCACGAGCTCAACTCAGTTTCCAGCTTTCGGGAGAATGAAGACCGCTTAACGCAACAAATCCCCCAGGGCGGCAATGTAGGTCTGGGCCATTTGCAGAGTTTCGTGTTTGGATAACTGGCGATCATTGCCCAGACAGGGCAGATATTGACGTAGACGATCGAAGGCTTGATTGAGATTTTGCATGCGACGACGTTCACGGGCATTGGCGGCCAAGCGACGTTTACGTTTGACCACAGGGGAGATTTGTTTGCCACGACGTCTTTTGCCTCCAGCCTGGGATTCATTGGGATCGGATTCGTTGTGTCCAGAAGCAGCGGAGTCATCTTGATCATGGAATTCAAAGGAACCGCTGCCCTCAAAATCATCCTGGGAAGAGCTGTGGCCATCGGCATCGAAGAACATAAGATTATCATCGGCATCGACACTGTCTTCGAATAGGGCGCCATTGTCGAAGTCTACAAATTGTTGGAAATCATCGTTGCTGTAGGTTACTGCTGGAGGGGGTTGAGGGATGGTGACAGGGCTGGTGCTGGTGGTTGCCTGGGCTTTGGCTTTACGTGTGTAGGACCTTTTGGGTTTTGTTGTGGCCTTTGCGGTCTTACAGGTACCCACATTGGAGGAGCCCATAACGGGAACACAAGTATCAGGCACTGAGATGGGACTTTCCACTGGAACGGGGGAAATTTGTTGGACTTGTTGTTGTAGTGGAGCAATTTGTTCCGCCGTCAGTAGAGGATACTGCATCACCTGCTGCTGATGCGATTGGGGCAAACTGACATTGCCATAGATCACATTGAGATCCACAAATTCCGGACTTTCCGAACGATGTGAGGCCGGTGATGAAGTTAGCCAACCATCCGAAGAGGCCTGTTCAAAATTCAAATATCCATGGGTATTCAAATAATTATTGCCATTGCTGGTCACCGGGAAGTGTTGGACCGGCAATTGGGCCTGGGCATTCAGCTGAGGCGGATTATAGACCGCCATGGGATTGAAATAGGTTTCACTGCTGCTACCTTTGAAACTTTGTAAATCCTCGGAGGTTTTGTAGTAATAACGATAGACTTCGTTGGCCGACATGATGTTGAACGAGTGTGTGGTTCGTTGTTTTTTTACGAAGAGTAGTAGAAGAGAGGAGTTTTGAAACTTTGATGTTATTCCTTGCAACTCAAGTGAGTTTCTGCTTCAACCAGAGTCCTGTGGCCGCTATTTATAGCTCTGCTGGTTGTGGTAAATTTCACAAGTGAATCTACCACAGCAGGTATCGAAAGACAGGTAAGTTGTTGGCCACCATCCAATGGAGTATTGCCTTCCTTTGCATTCCAATGGATGAAGCAACCCTCAAAGCACGCACACACTCACACACCAACTCAGAGCAGTTATTTTCTGTGTGTGTGTCTGTGTGTGCGTTGTTGCAATAACCATCCTTGTGCATGCCCCCGATGCCCATGTATTGGAATTTTTATTCGCCAGCAACAGCAACAACAGCTGGCTGGGGATTGTGGTCGTCTCGCCAAACAATAACCATTCCGACTAGCAACAGCATCAGCACGTGCTCCTTAAACCCAGGCTGTCCGTCCATCCAGCCAGCCAGCCAGCCATCCAACTTGTTAGTTGTTCTTGTTGTTTGATTTACGACCCGACCACTTCACTACTCCAATGCAACCAATGAAATCCACAGCAACCAAGTGTGGTGGGTACTGGAAAGCCATGCTGATTGGTTGCCTGGCGTCTGAGGTTCTTTTTTCAATTCTTTTTTGATTTCTTCTTTTTTAAGAAATAACAGCAACAACCAGCCCTGCACGATGTAAACTTTGCAACATCAAGTTTTTTTCTCTTTTTGGTTTTTGGTTGAGAATAATTTTTATTTTTGGAGATTTTTATAAGACTTCATTACAGACGAACGGGAGAACGGTATTGAAAACAGATTTTACAGATGTTTTCAGAGCATTTTTGTTGCAAGTTTTTGTCATATAAAGTATTTTATTTCGGCGTATTTTTTTTATAAATAAACCTTAGAAATCTCCTATATTTAAACAAATAAAAAAGCTGTAAGACCGAACTTTGAATACCCTCCACCATTTGGAACGACTTTGGCAATTTTCAAAAAAAAAAATAGAATCCGTTAAAAATTCTGTTAAAATTTTAAAAATACCGAATTTAGCCGTTATATAGGGACTATACAACGATATGGACCTGCAAAGACACGTTTTGTAATAAGTCATTACAATATTCAAATGGGAAACTTGAAAAAAAAAAACGGTGAATAATGTTGCTAAAATCATCAAAATATCGGAATGGTGCGGTGGGGGGGGGGGTACCGTTATATGGGGGCTATACGAAGATGTGGACCTGTTTACGAAAACACCTGTTTACGAACTTTAAATGCTAAATTTAAAACAATTCTTGTGAATAATGTCGATAAAATCATGTACCGTTATATGGGGGATATACGAAAACGTGAACCTACATACGATTTTTTCTGTCATAGGCTGTAGTACCCATTACGAACTTCAAATACGAAATTTGATATACTTCCGATAAATAATGACGCTAAAATCATGAAATCTCTAATATCGGGAGGTACCGTTATATGGAGGCTATACGAAGACCTGGACCTGCACAGACAATTTTCTGTCATAGGCTGTAGTATCCACTACGAACTTCAAATACCAAATTTGAAACAATTCCGGTTAATAATGTCGCTAAAATCATCACAAATTCGGAAGGATCTCTTGCCAGAAAAGAATAAGTTCTAAGAAAATCTTTCAAAATTTGTATCGCTTATCATTTTTTCATATGTGACTTACAATTTTGATTTGTACATTTTTTAATATTTTTACACCCTGCAAAAAATTTTCACAAAATTTTGCATGGAAGTGGGGTTATAGTCAGAATAAAAGCCTATTGTTATTAAATATGTACATTTAGCGATTCAAATGGACCTAGAAATGTAAATTTTCCTGAGTTTTGCGGGTCACAATTAAAAACCAATCGACACCGAATTTTGAAAGAAAAGAGTGTTAAGGACAGGGCAAAAGTCTAATATTTTGGAAATTCTTTTTTATTTGAAATTATTTTGAATACCAATCAGCACAAAAGAGAGGAGTAACTGTAAGGAAAATGTTCCGGTCAAAAGCCAAAGATAACATTTGTGCAGGACTGTATGGCATTATTTAAAAAAATCTACCAAAATGGATTTAGACCTAATGAGGCTTTCCCATATATTTGTAGGTTATCACATGATCGGCCCTGCACGACTATAGCCTTTGCTTACTTGCTTTAATTTGGTTTTTTGTAAAAAAATAGCAATGATACAAAAATTGGCAATTTTTGCACCATTCGTACTCTTTAAGTACAAAAATTCCAAAATACTTTTTATACGCCTTTTTATATCCTACACCACATAGTGGTAAGGGTATTATGTCTTTGTGCATTTGGAGAAGGAAGCGAGATAGACCTATAGTTACTTTTGAGGATCTCCATAGAATCACTTTCTGAGTTGATTTATCCATGTCAGTCAGTCTGTCTATGTACTCTTGTGAACAAAATGCAGGTCGCATTTATTTGGCCCAAGGACGAAATTGGAGATGATCGGTCAAAATTTAGATATAGCTCCCATATATATATCTTCTTCCGATTTGCATTTTATTGTGCACCAAACGTGTAATATCAGCCCGAATAGTATGGAATTTTGAACATACAACCAAATTAGACCTGAAAATAAGTATGCCAAATTTGATCGGAATCGGTTCAGATATAGCCATAGCTCTTATATATATTGTTCATCCGATTTGTTATTTTTGTCCTCCGCAGCCGTAATTGCACTCTGCAACAACAATATTTGGGGAAATATATCAAATACCACTCAGAAATATCTTTGCCAAATTTTATCGAGATCGGTTCCGATTTGGATATAGCTCCTATATATATCTTTATTTGATTTCAAATTAATTTTGCACTAAATCTGCAATACAAGTCTGATTTTAAAAGATACAAATGCTTCTGCATATTTAGTCCTTTGAACTTTAAATTAAATTTATAATCATAGCGTGTATGATTGAACTCTCCCATAAAAACTTTTAATTGTTATGCGGAGCTCTACTAAATTAGCAAAGTGGTGTGGGTATCATAAAGTCGGCCCCGCCTGACTTTAAGACTTTCTTTACTGGTTTTAAGCTGTATCTGACATCCGGTGTCAAATATCAATGTTGTAGAGTGGATATTACGAAAATGCGGTACCAAATCGGATGAGACATACATATGGGGAACTATAGCTATTTGAACCGACTTTTAACAAATTTTAAGTACTTGATTCAAAGCTGAATTCGGTCGGATGTACCGAGATACATCATTTTTGGTCGCACAATTAAATTGAAATTTGACTGTATTCGCTACTTTTTAAATATACTTTTTGTAGATAAACGATCATTAATCGATTTTAAATTAGGTTCTTAACAGACCACACTTTAGACTCAAATTCCAACCATTCAAAATCAAAAAATATTTAAAATAATTAAATTTAAAATATCGTTAAATTGGGACCTACGAGAAGATATCATAGGTAATTGCGATATTTAAATACGAAACATAACACAATTCCGCTGTCGCTAAATTCATCAAAATACCCATACGAATACATCGATCAATATAAAAATCATCAAAATACCGTCTTTAGGGAGACACCTTTATATGGGTGCTATATGAAGACGTGGACCTGCATATGCAATTTCTGTCATAGGATTTAGTACCCATTAGGAACTTCAAATTCTAAGTTTAAAACATTAATGGTACAAATTATTAAAATACCAAATATCTGGAGGTATATTAAAATGGGGAATATACCAAAATTTGGACCTGTATTGACAGCTCAAAACATGGACCAATTTACAACAAAATCGTGACTAAAACACTTTGTTTCTCTCCGTATGAGACGTTGATGTTCTCTCAGGCATACAAACCGTGACCGTAGAAATAAAGAGATAAATAAAGCCAAATAGGGATTAGTTTAAATATAATATAAATAACCGTTTATTGAGATGTTGTGAGAGTTTGTCAACCCGAGTTGACAGATTACCTTTTCTATGCGTTTAGCTCCGTAGCTAGCAAGAGAGTGCCAATAAGCTAACAATGTCGCAATGCACCGATGTGGCTGAAAGCACCGATGCTTCCAGGAAATCTCTAACAGCAACTCGGGCTGAAAGAGTACCCAGAGAGAGTTGTTGAGAAATGACTTGGAAAAGCTGCCTACGGTCCGAGCTGTGCGAACGTAGGCCCCAAGGAGAGTTGTAGGGAAAATCTTCATACTAGGAAGGCACACTTAGAAACCCCTAATTCTGTTTGTACAATTATATGGGGGCTATACCGAAACGTTGACATATATAGCCAATTTTCAATGCCAAAGATTCTGCAGATCTAACATTCATCTCCATAATATTTTATCAATCTACCTCGTTCGTAAGCTGGAGTGATTTCCACAGACGGACGGATATCGCTAAATCGACATAGAATTTTTGTGCTGATCAAGAATATACTCCGTGGAGTCTAAAATGTATATTTCGAGGTGTAACAATCGAAAAGACAACCTTTATATACCCTCCATACTATGGCGGAGGGTATAAAAATATGGGAAACGCCAAGAATTGAAAGAAGTTATAATCTTTTAAATGCTGCTAAAATCAGGCGGAACTATTGTATGTCTGATACTTACCGGTACTATGAGCCTTTCGCCGTCCATAACTCTCGAAAGTGTGTTTAATAAGCTAATATGAATGCCCCGGTTTGATCAAACTTTGTTTAACTGCTATCGAATTTCAATCGTGTTTATGGATAAAGTGTATTTTATGCAAGGGGAAAAATGCTCTCTTTCAACTCAATACCTCAAAGGGCATATATGATTTTTTAGTCCTGAAAATTTCGACCTCAAAAACATTTCCTTCATTTTTTGCTGATTTCCTAGTCTAATCAGTTAGCCATCGAAAGTGTGGAAGCTATTTGTAACGTTTAAAATGAAAGATACCGAAAAATTCGATGGCATCATCTATCCGACAGCAACTTGGGCTACCGCAACAGAAGGACCACCAACGCACTAGAGATCCTTTCTACTAAGACCGCT